CGTCCGGCTGTCATTGGCATGGGCCGAGTCTTTGGTGCCAGTTTGACGGCTGTCTCTGCCTTTCCGGTTGACACCAAGGGCCACCATGACGCTGGCGAAGAGGGCGGTCCCAGCCTCTGGGTCCTCGCTGTTGCCTCAATGGTTCTGGTGCTTCTTGGTGGTGCTTTTGCTGGATTGACAATTGCGCAAGTCCCCCTCCCTCTTGGCGATGCGCGACGCATGCTGACCTACCCAGTTTGATGGGACAAGACAGTATTTATCTCCAGGTTTTATCGGGCGATCCCGCGGAATCACAGTCTAAGAATGCGAAACGTGTGTTGAAATTGTTAAAACGAGGAAAGCATTGGGTTCTGGTCACGCTGCTGCTATCCAACGTCATTGTCAACGAGTCCCTTCCCGTTGTATTGGACCGAACTCTTGGAGGAGGTGTTGCCGCTGTCGTTGGCAGTACTGTTCTCATCGGTATGTGAGACATGATAACTCTGGTAGACTTTGCTAACCGCAACAGTTATTTTTGGTGAAATTGTTCCCCAGTCCATCTGTGTTCGATATGGTCTTCCTATCGGCGGATACATGTCTACCCCAGTTCTTCTTCTCATGTATCTGACCGCTCCGGTTTCTTGGCCAATTGCGAAGCTTCTCGACTGGATTCTGGGCGAGGATCATGGTACCTTGTACAAGAAGAGCGGACTCAAGACGCTAGTCACCCTCCACAAGTCTCTGGGTGAGATTTCCGAGCGTTTGAACCAGGATGAGGTTACGATTATCACAGCCGTTTTGGACTTGAAGGACAAGCCCGTTGCTGAAGTTATGACGCCCATCTCCGATGTGTATACGCTTGCCGAAGACCACATCCTCGACGAAAAGACCATGGATGATATTCTATCCTCTGGGTACTCGCGAATTCCTATTTATCGTTCTGGGAATCACCTGGACTTTGTTGGCATGCTTTTGGTCAAGACACTCATCACCTATGATCCTGAAGATAGAATTCCCGTCCGCGATGTGCCTCTCGGAGCAATTGTCGAAACTCGCCCTGAAACCAGCTGTCTGGACATCATCAACTTCTTCCAGGAGGGTAAATCGCACATGGTACTGGTATCCGAATTTCCCGGCTCGGACCATGGTGCCCTAGGTGTCGTTACTCTTGAAGACGTTATTGAGGAATTGATTGGAGAGTAAGTAGACAATATCGCATATGAGGAGCATTACTGACCAGACAGGGAAATTGTTGACGAATCCGATGTCTATGTCGATGTACACAAGGCTATCCGACGTCTTACTCCCGCACCCCGAGCCCGCCGAATTCACGCAACTGCCGCCGCCGCCGCCGCAATGGCCACTAAGAAGGCCCCGGGCGACTCTATTTTGGTCGATGTTGAAGAACACGCCGACGAATACCCTCCCAATGTCGAGACTGCTTCTTTCCACAGCAATTATGAAGGAGGATTCCACAACGCTGCCAAGACTGCTATTCACATGAAGCGCCGGACCTCTGATGGCGGCATAGAAGGCACCCCAGTTGTTGTGAAGGCTAGTCTAGATGAAATGAGGTCTCAACTTCGTCTTGGACCTGCTAACCGAGCTGCGAACCCCCGCAGCAATACCCGCAGCCTCTTCAAAATCAAACAAGGTCTCGGTGCGACCCATACGCCCCCAAATGATGGCTCAAGACCTGCCCAGCCGCGCGCTGCATCCCACATAGGTTTCACGAGTACTCACGGACAATCGCAGGGGCGGACTCAGGGTCATGAACGAACACCGTTATTAGCTGAGGATCACGAAGAAGCTATAGACGATGACGAAGATGACGACGGCCGTAAAACAAATGGTCGGCATTAGGGGTATGTTTAGTGGTATGAAGAATAGGGTTCGATGGAATCGTTTCTTAGGAGTGGCAAATCTAAACCAGGGGCCTTTACTGTTGGGCACACCAGGTAGGATTTAGTTAATACACCTCTGCAGCATTGATGACAGCAGCCAAATCATGGCAACTATAATACTTTTTGACGTCAAATTTTGTCTCATTGTAACTTAATCCTTCTTCTATTCATCCATACTGATGTGCTCTCAGTCATACCAGATGGCGTTCATGCCAAAGCCAGGCTCTGGTGTTCTAACCCTTGCCACACGGGCGAGGTGCTCATCTTGCCAGCGGTAGATCTCCAGCCAACCTTCTTGATCATCCGTGATCGCTACCCACTCATCTGTCCAAGGGCAAGGTGCAACCGCATTACTATGTCCACCACTCGTAGGTGTAGGATTCAGGCAGATCTGGCGCTCAATGGCGCCGATATCCGAGAGTTTGAAGGCGGCCACATAACCTGTCAGGTCGAAGGAGTTGGCACGGGACGAGGCAAAGAGATACTTGCCCGAGGACGAAAGCACGCAGACATCAGCGCGGTACTGTGTCCACCTATCGGGGATACCTGGAGGGATCAGAGGGTAGTGCTTATGAGTGTAAACGGGCAGACGAGTTGCGGGATCGATGAGGTACTCGCAGATTCGGTTGCCCTTCTCCATAAGAGCGTAGAGGTAGTTTCCAGTAGGATGCATGGCCACCCAGCGAGGGTGGTCTCGAGCATCAGGACAATCAACAGAACCGACCAGCTCAAGAGAAGGATCGTCTTTGCTAACACGGCGATGTGTCCAGATCTTGTTAGCACGGAGGTCGGCAGAATAAAGATATTCCTCCTCAGGATCAAAGACCATTCCGTGAATACCCGTATTAGGCTGGTAAGGGTAGTTTTGGACATTTTCCTTAAGAGCCTTTGTAGTGGAATCGGTAGTGAAGACAGCACCGTGGCCAGCGTGATCGTAGAAAGGATTGCAGTAAACGGCATAAGGAGGCTTGTTCGCTGCGAGAAGGAAGATGGCACGGGTGTTTGTGGTGGCAAGAGAAGCATTGGCTGTTGAGGTTAGTTTTCAGTATATGAACTGGCTAGAGGTGACTTACGATCGTGCTCCATTGGGTGAGAGACCTGGTGAGTTATCGAAGTTGGCGATTCGACGGCGAAGCTGGACCACTTCTTCATAGCAGCACCGTAAATAGCTTTGCGATCATGCTGGGCCACATTGTGAGTTAACATCTTGCAGAGTCATACATGAGCTTACACTAAATGTCATCCATGAGATTGGTTCATCCTTAGGAATCTCGGTCCTTTTCACAAGCTTAAGTGTGAGAGCTTCATCATCGAAGGCGAAAGTGAAGATGGCACCTGGAGGAGTCCAGGTACCAACCATAAGATGATGAACAGGCATTTTGGCAGCGATAGGTATTGCTCGGAGCTTTGAGATGAGTGTAGGTCGCATATAAGCCGAAGCTAGAATCCACAGCAGAACCAAGTCAACGATCAATGAAGCAGTGCTGAGATTATTGTTGGAGGAGAAAGCACATGTAAAAAAAGATTGAGTCGTTATGATGGATGATAGAGGGGAGAGACAGGCTTAAACATTTATCCTACAGGGCATATCTTAGTGGAGAGCAACCTACTGGGTACCTTACCTACCTATGATGCATGCTCAATACAGTTACGGTTGGTTAGTAGGTGGCCGTGGGTCTAAGTCCGGGGACGGGGCCGGCAGTCTACGGCGGCAGATGTTGACGGATATGATTTCGGCATTGGACCGATGTTAATGAGTGGGCAGTTGGCTTTTGTTAACATGAGCATTTTGAAATCTATTTAGTCACTAGCGAAAACCCTTGAAATGATATAACCTGTTAGACGCTCATCATGACACCTGAATTGTATCAACAGCCCAGACTCATGATGACAGGGCTCTCATGGTACGAGATCCATCTGACTTGCTGTGTTTCATGAGACGCAATTGATCTCAGTCGGTCTTCAAAATAATCTCTATTTGATCAAACGGTCTATTGACTATTTTCGGGGCATGTTGAACCTAAATATGAATGGAATTTTGTTAAGCTGGTCCAATTGCATCTAGAATACAGAGTACTCCGTACCCCGCATTGACTTCCCCGATGTTGATCCCAGCACAAAGCCACTAACGTCCTTCTTCTCGTGCTATTAAACATTTGGATACTATTATGTGAAACGATGTTCCCTTTTTAACCAAAAATACTATTGAGCAACCATTGAGAAGAGGTCATGATGACATACCCTTGCTCATGACCATGGCCTTAATACGAACGCGAGAAAGATGTTATGGCCGCTTGTGTAGCCCAGCGATTCATACAAGCTAAACAACAAACAAGGATGTCCCCAGCTGATGTTTTGAGCAGTCATGGCGATCCTTGGCCTCAAGAGTACTCATGATATGAGTGTGATAGAGAATACACCAACCGACACATGTATGTTCAGTAAAGTGTATACGTAGCATTGGAGCGAAATGAGAACCGAGTATTCCCTTTAATTTAAATTGATTTGTAGGAGGTACTTATTGAATATGGATCTTTCAGCCGGTAAAGGCTGAACTAATGAAATTGCTGCTTGGCTAATCAACGCTGTAAGCGATAGCATCACTCGATCACGAATCGCCTTTCCAGCTCCTACGCTTGGAGGAGCGAAAAAGAAAAGAAAAGAGTTGCCCGATCATTGTTATTATTACTACAAGCAAGCAAATATAGTCTTGTACGACCTATTTTGCCATCGTGCATCATCATCGTCTGCCATCACTGGTGCGATAAGATAGGGCCTCCGTCACCCGGTCAACGGCCGTTTCCCAATAAACAGTCAACGGCTTGTCTAATAGTGCCTTGGCTCTGGCTACCTAAGCGACCTACTTTCTTGCTAGCTCCAGTTCCAGCTCCAGCTCCAGCTCCAGCTTGTCTTCTCAACTTTAACTTACTTTTATTCTTTCTGCAATGGCGTAGCCCAATTCGCAGTCTTAGTTGGCTTCTTATTCTCATCAGTTGGCGTGAGACTTGGTTTTGTTCATTACCAGATTCTTTTTAAACCCTTCATTTCTACAGATATCGTTGTGGCGAAAGCTACTTAGCAGCTCTCATATAACCACGGATATTGTGGCTCGACACCATGAATACAAACGACGTAAATAGCTTCGACGTCGGTCGAAGACCACGGCCCAAGTCCTCCATCCTCGAGGGCTTCATGCATCGTCGTCAAGCTTCCACCGATACCCATTCATTCCAGGCCCCCTTCGATGGTCCTGTCTCTCCTATACAGCCAAAGATCATGGCCTTTGAGAACTACTCCAACCCAGGGGCACTGGCAGAACTACAATACAACCAGCAAGAGTCCTCCGGACGCTTCTCACGGCGACAGGACCGAGGCCGATCACAGTCCCCGACCAAGAGCAGCTTTGGCAACTTCACCATCATAACAGCACCCGGCAAAGAAGCCAAAGGCTCGAAATCTCGCGATCCCTCTCCCACTAAACCGAAACGGCCAAAGTCAACAACTAACCTAGCTGGTCTGCTCAAGCCCAAGACGCTGCGAAACTTGGGCAGGTTCGGATCCGACGACAATGTCAATTCATCCAAGGACAAGGAAAACAGAACTCCCGAAGAACCTGTAGCGGACCCTGCACCGACACCCATTTATTCTCAGTTTGCCTCTCGACCGAACATTGAACCAGCCCAAAGTACACGCCGTAGTATGGACGAAGCACGGGCACCAAATGCTCAGGATCTTTATAATGGCAGTCGAGTCGCCGTCAAGGAGCGACCGAAATCATACCATCCCATGCTGGGAAGAATGGAACCACCCCCCTCACCAACCAAGGCACGCACTTCTAACGATTCCCGAAAGGGATCAAAAGACTCGACTGAGGCCAAGAGTAAGAGCGGTCGAGGTAAGGTCTTGAGCGTCTTTACTACATTCAACCACAGCCGATCCAAGTCAACGTCAGTTGTACCTGAGCCGACTGAGGCCGTGCTTGACCCCAAGGATATTGACAAGCACCTTGAAGCCATGTTGGACCGACGGAACATTCCAGAGAACCAGAGGTACAAGATGAGGAACCTGAGCAACACTATCAAGATGGAGTTTATCCGCCAGGACTGGGCGGAATCACAGGCTTCTCGGACAGAGAGATCATGCTCAACAGACAGCGCCAACAGCGGCTTGGTCATAGAAGCCGGTATGCAAAATGAGGAGAAACAGAAGCGATCACGAGGCAAGAGTTTTACTCTCTCACGAGGAAGAAAGGAACCAAAGGAACCAGGCTCTCCCATCAAAAAGTCAAAGGGCGAAGGGACATTGGGTCGTCATTTCAGAAGCAAGTCCACCGACAGCGTGGTCAGCGAAGGGCCTCCTGGGTCCAGCGGCTCCGTATCCAACTCTGGAATTCTTTCCAAGATTAAGCTCAACCAAGGCCCAGGCGATTACGTGGCCTATCTTAGAAAGGTTCAAAAACCAGAACTTGTCGAGGTCGGCAAAGTTCACAAGCTACGACTGCTTCTCAGGAACGAGACAGTGGCATGGATCGAGGACTTCATTCAGCAAGGCGGCATGAAGGAGATTGTAGGTCTGCTCAACCGCATCATGGAGGTTGAATGGAGGTAAGTCAGATTCAAGATGTGTTCCACAAACGTAACTAACGATTGATAGGGAGGAACATGAAGATGCACTGCTGCACGAGAATCTTCTCTGTCTAAAGGCACTGTCGACGACAGCTCGCGCCATGCAATATCTTCACACGATCCAGAGCGATCTATTTCCCAAGCTCCTACATATGCTTTTCGACCCAGAGAAGAAGGGTCCCAGCGAGTTCACCACTCGTAACATCATAACATCCGTCTTGTTCACGTATATTGAGTCTGCTGCACCAGCCGAACGGTTCACAAGAGCCCAGAGCATTCTCGCACACCTCAGAGACCCCGAGCCAAAGGAGGATCAGCGCCCATTGCCATTTGTCCTAGAGATGAGACAAGAAAGGCCATACCGCGTTTGGAGCAAGGAGGTTGTTAGCGTCACTAAGGAAGTGTTCTGGATCTTCCTTCACAACGTCAACGTTGTATCCCTTCCTTCGGACCGCCCCTCGACGTGTGACCCTGCCCCCGGTCCGTACGGTTACATGCTTCGACATTTCCCTCAAGAGCGCCCCCCGGTCCCAGCAGCACCATATGTGGGCGGAGTCGAATGGGATGCGACCAACTACCTGGCTTCTCATCTCGATCTCATGAACGCCATTTTGGCCTGCACACCGACACAAGAGGAGCGCAACACTCTCCGCGCACAGTTCCGAATTTCGGGATGGGAGCGATGCCTTGGTGGTAGTCTACGACTCTGCAAAGAGAAGTTCTATGGAAGCGTGCATGACGGGCTTCGGACATGGGTCGGAGCGGCGGCCGAGGATGGTTGGGATGTCAAGGATGTGCGATACGGGCCGCCCCCTGACGCTCGGGCTTCACCAAAGAAAACTGGAGGTGGTCAGAAGAAACCGGTCGAGGCGGCGCCAAAGCTTGAGATGCCGAAGCTCGATTTTGGGTTGGATAAGGCATCCACTCCGAGTAAGGAGAAGGACATGTGGCTGTGATGAAATGGCAAATCTTGAAGTGCCAGCATTTGTTTCTTGCATGTATTTCCTTGTTGGTCTGGAGCTAAGGTTGATTGTTGGTTGTTTGGAAGTCATGGTAGAGATCCTACTTTGATGATGGCATGTTAATGAACTGATGACACAAAAAACTGCATTGTTGACCCATCCATTCGTGCTTCGGGTTACTTGACACAAACTCCTTGTAGATCTCACGTGGTCCCGTGATGTACAGCCTATGTGACGCTCAGGACCAGCCAGCCACCGTATGCTGTGCCCTTGTTGTCCTGAAAACTTTTGGTCCAAGGTAGTAGTATTGTATTCTTTATCCCCTACGACGGATGCTGTTCAAAGATTGCTTCGATGAAGCTTGAAGGACTCAAAAACCGTTGCACCTTTGAGCACATCGTCCTTGACCTTTTCATCAGCGGCTGTCAGCTTGGGCAGCAATTCGAGGACCTCAGAAACCTTGTTCTGAGGAATGACCACCACCCCGTTGATTGGATCGCTAAATGCAAGGTCGCCAGGAGAGACGAGGGTTCCATCAATGTCGAGAGGTACCTGGATCGCCCAGGGCACGCTCCCTCCACCGACCCCAACGGTGGACAGCCCTCGAGCCCAAATCTGCATTGTACCTCCGAGTTCAGCTTGTTCCAAGAGCAGGGTAAATGGCACTCACCGGCAAGGAAGTACTCTTTAGTTCCGCTATATCTCTGGCTCGCCCAGCTACAACAATGCCCTTGGCTTGGCACACTTTCATGCGAACCGCCATGATCCCACCACAAACAGCATTCTTTTGACCATCGGGCTGCTTGAGAACCACAATGGTTCCTGGTTCTGTCAGATCGGCCCAATGGGTTCCCTCAGGGATGTTCTTTTGTATTTCTGGGATATTCTGTCCCTTTGAGGTGAAGAGAACTGTTGAAACTGGAGCAACGGTAACCGATGTTGCATCACCTTCAGGAGAGCTGTATAGGTTCAGATCGGCAACAAAGCCGGCGCCGGGAACCTTTAACTTGAGGAGTGCGTCCGAGATATCACAAGCGGAATACTGCAGCAGCTTTACCAAGTCCTCGGCGTGGTAACTCATGCTGATAGCGTCCAAGGGCAACAAGATTTTAGCGAATACGGCGAGTCGGTGAGCAAGGACTATCAAATAGTTGCAGTTTCGAAGATTAAAAGCCTCTTTGACGTTGTAAGTGCGTTATAGCCCCCGGGTTAGAACTTGCCGGTAATCGCAGGAAGTTCAGGTCGTAGTGGAACTTGGAGCTCCATGACTCCGGAGCCTCCCATCAACCGGGACGTACAGTCCAATCAGAAGCATTACCAGCACATGCTTTGGATGCACGAACTAGGTGGGGGATGGCCAGGGAGAGCTTGGCCGAGGCCAATCATTCAACTCGAAGGATCTGGCCCTGGACGGGAATTCAAAGTTGACGAGGAACCGGCGTTTTATTTGCGACTGCAACTGTGAGCTAGCGACAGAGATAAATTAGGAGCTCAAGCGGAGCAACCCTGGCATGACGTCTCTTGTTTACTCTTCTCTCTTTCGGATCCTCTTCTGGACTATTCGCAGGAAGGTTTTTTTCCCTCTCTCTTTCGTTTTTTGGTACATTACGCAAAAATGACTATCAGTTCCCGTCCTGGTATCAATCAGTCAGTGACGAGGACTCAGGATACCCAAATGTGACGTGTCTTATGAGCAAGGGCCAAGATCAAGACGGTGTCCAGTCCAAGCATGGCCTACGCCTACATACATATTCTTTATCGCCGCGATAGACGACCGGCTTCCTTCGGGCAACGAGTCATGGCGAGGCATGATTAATGTTTCAGAGAGGCTGGTGTTGCAGAGTAGAATTTTGGTATGAAGCTGGTCCCTATGGTGAGCAACAGGTGGGGTTCACCAGACATCAACGGAAATTCCGATGATACAAGAACAAAACAGCGATATACGACTAACGTGGTAACCGGCCGAAAAGAATTAAAGAGCGGCTTGCAATTTCCCAACGTGACAAGCCGCAATTCCATGTGTTACAGCGGACTCATCCATTCCTGTTACCACATGGAATAGATGCTGTCAAAAGTAGATGCTACGCTAGCTAAAAGTGCTTGGGCTAGATAGCTCAACCCGTCCGTTCTATCAACTCAACCCCAGACACACGGACATTCCAAGGGTCCGGTCAACTTGTGACATGTGCTTCAAGGCTGGGTTGAAGACGATGAGAGCTTTGCTCAACTGGTTTCAAACTGCTCGTTCAGATAACAGTACAGACACACATGAGCAATGAGACATCTCCTTATGCTAAGATCAGCTGTTAATGACTGCTTCTGGCTTACTGCGTAGGATAATCTATGAAGCGGAACCGGATAATAGAGACTCATTGGGGGGGGGGGG